AACTGAGAAACTACGTCTTGTTTTTCGCTCCACAGATTTTCAGTCCACTTTTGGACATCTGCGAATATGTTTTTGCTCCTGGTGCCTGGAAGACGATTTCTCAATGAGCTGGCTCGGCTGTTGATTCTTTTCATGATTCATGGTTTTGCGATTTCTCCCATCTACCACCTTGCGACACACTCAATCTCCCATCATCGAATCATCCAAGCTCACGTCTCGAAATATACTTTCGCATCCTGCTCCTGGTTCTCACTTTATTTTAGAATCGAGAAAGGTGATTCCAGTACACAGTTTGATCGAAGCTCGCGTCATCAACCAAACGACCTTGCCATTCGAGAAGAAACGGGCGTAGCTTTCGAAACAGATTGTATCCCAGACCCACCTGACCACAATTATTTGGTCAGGATTCGATTTTCTCCACTGCGAAGCAAACGTTAGCGAAAAGGAAAGCATCCGTTCGACTAAGATGCTGCGGCAAACGTCGGTCGTTCAGCTCTGGCGAGGTATCGCATCGGGGCCCCTCTGAAAAAGTCAAGAACACTGACGACTCTTTGCCAAAGCGAAAAGCCCCTCTTCCTCCTTCTGAAGACATCGAGCCGCTGCCGGTTCCGTCCTCGCTCCGTCGATACCATTCTAGCTCCAACATCCATCTCAGATTTTCTCTCCGATTTCCTTATTCTGTATGATTTCCCGTTGTCACATGTCGGTCGTTGCGTACGAACGATTCCGAGAAGGAACTCTGCGTAAGTAGCGTGAGTTTGTGGTTTATCGTTTTGTCAACATTTGCCCAAACTGATTGAGCTGTCGTTGGCTAGGATATTATTCCGGCTCTCGGCTCATATGTTTGTTCTGTAAACGTCCCACATTGAAGCATTGACTCGCGGTGTAGAGTTGAGTTCCTCGATAAATCCTCATCCTGTTAATAGTGTCGATACGATGGATGAAGGGAATCCATCTCGGAATTTCCGGTTCTGTCTTCCAGAGCATTTACCGTGCCGGGGCGCGTTTCTGAAAATTCCTTTTCTGATCCCTCTGATCAGATTTTCCGGGGGAAAGTCGTGAAGCGACAGAGAATCGTGCGCCGGTGTGGTCGTTTCGTGGAATCACATCTCTCGGGGTATTCCGCTCGGAGGGAGCGGTAGATGGGTCGCCGCTTGTTTAGGCCATTCTGCGTGAACAAAAAGCAGAAAAAGCGTCTTCGCGCGCATAACGCTTGGGTGCGCCTGCAAGCCGTGCGCGAGAAGTAGAGTCGTCCAACAATGATGATCAGTTTCATGAAAGCGACAAACCACGGGCAGAAGTTCTGGTGAAGCGGTATTCGGTTGAATCGCATCTGTCAACGATCAGAGCAAGCAATCAATCAATCGAGCAGTCACTCAGTCAGTCACTCACTCACTCACTCACTCACTCACTCACTCAGTCTAAGGCTCCGATATTACGACAAGAATTCCGCGCGAATTCTGAATCCGTACGTGGGCAATCATCCGAACAACCCACTGAAGTTGCTTTTCTCCCTCTAACAGTTCTAGATGGGCAATAAAAGAGACCATCGGATCGGGAATTTCAGCGTTTGCCGCGTACACGTTGTGGAAATTGATCGCAGTCGGCGACACTTGTGATAGTTTCCGATAAAAAGCGAATGATGCAAAGAAATCGCTCGCTCTTTCTCCTTGAGCAGATATCCAGACTGTGGTTGAGACTGTTCGATTGAGCGTCGGTAAATCCTCGATTTGGTAATCCAGGTTAACAAGCTCTTGACCTAGGGCTTAGAGCGATTCTCATTCAGTCTCTCTCTACTGATCTTCTCGCAGAGCACGTGTCCAGACCGTCGTCGACCGAATCGACCGATTCTGAAGAGCATCACTCGCTTCGGAGGAAAAGAAGCGCGAAACCACAGATTTTGATCCGAATGACATAACAATCGATCATGCGCTCAGAATATCCTCAAGTCATTAAGATCCTTCGAGGCTTCATTCTAACGAAAGCATCGATTCGTCGATTCCTTGCTCGGGGAAAGAGCCGAGAGCGGCAAAAAATCTTTCGTGATATCCCCTAGATCTAGGTGAGCTCTTTCGAGCCAGGGCACAGCGATTCGGCGGAATTCCGATCAATGGAACGCGCGCGATCTGGCCAAAAACAGTAGGCTTTGGATCTTCTCGATGGCGATCTGGCGCGGCAATAAATCTGGAATACTCGAATTTTGTGCTACTTGTGTCTTTCATCTGAGCGTTCGAAATTCTTGAGCATTGGGTCCCGTCCGCGGGAGCCTTCCACCCGCTCTCTGGATAAACAAACAAAGCAGCGATGCTGCCAACATTCAAAGACAGGATCATTCGTAGACACGCGCTACATCGGAGCGCTAAGTTTCGATGTTGTGGTGGCGAACGACTTGTTCTCGAAAGTCAGCTGAGAGTTTCCACATGCCCCGCAGTGTGGGCGCCTCAGTAAAATGACGCCGGCGAACGAACTCACCGGAATCGCTAGCACTCATTCTCGCCTTCTTACGCACATGGCCCGACGAGAAGCGTGGACTGTCGAACACACGCAGAGGCATATAGCGTCGCCTAAATATCGAGCGTGCTCAGTATCAGCAACGCGAGCGGCTTCCACCGGTTCGGGAGAACGACCGGACCAGGCTTGACTGTCAACACTAATGGAAATGAAATAATTCCTCGGAGGGTTGTCGGGATAACATTTGTGCTTCGGCTCGCATATTCGGTCCGTTCCCAGCGAAACTAGTTCCACCGTGAAAGCCTTTGAATTCCGATCCAGGATCAAAGAAGACGGCTTGCCGACGAGGGCCGCCATTTGGCGACGGGGATTAGAAATGGCATTGGGAAGTTTTCCGACAACACCTGTTCTCTTCCGATTTAAGGAATCGTTGCATGTTCTTTAAAACGAGGAGACAAGTAAAAAATAATAATAAAAAATAATAATAGTAATAAAAACCGGGGAGCTAATATATTGAGTTATTTCTCGTTTTCCAAAATGACCCGTCTCCGGGGGAATGGTGCTGAGCTGACTCGTTGTAAGCATAACCGTGAATTCGACTCCAAGTCGGTCGCACGAGCAGAGTTGAGTGGCTGCCGCCTGGGAGGTTACCCAAAACGGATATGACGGACGGCAGCAATGGTTTTACAAGGTGGTCTCTAGAGACCGAGTCCGCTTGATAAAATTATCGACTGACGATAGAATTATTTCCTCCCGAGCTCGTGTTCGTAAAGGGACTACCTGGGTCAGGCTGCAGAATGACGTTTGCCACCCCGACTTACTCATGGCTATTACTGTCCGCTTTTGGAACAAGGCGTAGGAAAGTTATTGCGCCGACGGTCAGGTCGTTCTATTATCCTGAGCGAGAGATTTCCGATGATAAGATTCGGAAAAAGACGATTTACGGCTTTGACGCACGGATTTTGACGGCGATTGCTATATCGATGCATTCGAGCGACGCCCTTCTTCGGCGACGATTCGCTTCCAAATTCCGAAAATTCGGTCTCAGAAAAACGATGGGACTCCACGTTTCGTTGGACTTGCATCCCGAGCTCAAGATATCACGGAAATCAAATCAGAGCCCTGCGTCAATCTCGCAGGCTTGACGTATTCAAGCGAGCAGTCAATTGTGAGCAATATCCGTATATGCACGGAATTTCGCTTCTGTGGACGGAAGTCGAGCGCTGCGTGCACGTGGTACATTCTTAGATATAAATCGCCTCGAATGAGACCGCTCGCTTCAGCATCGGCTCCGATCGATGGCATCGATTTGATCGATAATGCTTTGTAGTGGGAGTGGATAATTCTCAACAACTTCACCATTGGCCTTTAATTCCGACATCGGAGCGTTCGTAGACCTGACCTAGACGGGGAGCACAGACGATGGATAGTCTTCTTGGACTCGTTTCCGGTATTCCGATGCTCCAACGCACAGCCGGAAGTATTGCCCATAAAGCGAACCCGTTCGCGGGGCGAAGAGATCCCCGGAAGGATCTCGGGCATCCAGAAAAATCACGAGAATATGTTTTTTCACGAGGCGCGAGTGATCCATATGTAAGCGAAGAGGGGGTGCACGGGGGAACCTCTCTTGAAGTCTGGGGTATGCAACTCATCTACTTCCGACGACAGTCATGTCCGATCGGCGCCCAGATATCAGCCACGGAACCATGTTTGGCGCAGAATTCGGAAATAATCGGATAATTCGTCGACGTCCTCCTCCGTTGACAGCTCCGCATGAGCCAGCTCATCGCCCACCTCGGTCTCTCCGTCCAGTTGCCCCTTCGTTTCGAAATGAAGTTCCGGGACTCTAATGTGCAATCGCGATGGTGAATTCTGGTTCGGACTTTTTACGATTCCGGGAAGGGTCTCCAAGAAGGGAGTCCCAAAATCGCGCGTATCGCCGATGGACAATCTACTTCGGCGACTCGTGCAGGAGTCTAAATGTGCAACTGCGTATTGAGACCGAAACGCACGAATTTTGCTGGAAACAAGGATTCGACCTCGCAGAAAGTTCCACGAAAGCTTTTCCGGAGACCCTTGAGGCATGCCCCACGGGGAGAACTTTGCAATGTGGGAGCGACATTCAAGGAATTCGAGTTCACAGGGTTAATTCGAGTCGTAGACAGGACGTTCCAATCAGGAGATGTCAAGGGCGCCAAGCAGGTAGCCGACCACTGGGTAGTCGTCCTGCTCGGCTCTCGATGAACGTTAGGTCGTAGCTTCTGATTGGGACCGTCTACTCCGAATATTCATTCGAACGTACGACGTCTCCCTCTCGCGGCCACTTTGCGGTCAGGGTAATGTTGCCAAACATTCAATATAGCGAAAATTCCCCGAGACGATCGAGTTCTGCCACTCACGTGCGTTTGCTTCGGAGGAGCTTCCCCGAGAACGACAACGCTCACGCTTGTGGATCATTTCCGGAAATCGAGTCCAGCAATTCAAAACTACAGCCTGGTCATGAACAATGTCAGAGAATCACCGCTCGGCTGTCGCTCCTGGAAACTCACCTGTGTTGTTGAAAGTCATGAGTTCTACGAACAGGTGTAAATTCCTCGGGAATCCGAACGCGAACACAAGCACCACGCACTTTTATTCCCCTTTGCTCGGTGTTTTTCTAATTTTCTCACTGCTTCTCCCCGGCGGCACTCAGAACAGCTCACGGATCCTCGCGAAACTCACGGTGCTACGATCGCGGCCGACTCACAGTTTTCGATGTCAACCAAAGTGGCACGGAGAGACACTCTGATTTGACCACGTAAAGGGCGCGAGCTACGATTCGGTGGATTTTTGGCCCCACTCTGCTAGACAGTCATTCTCTCACGCGCTAAGCACACGTTTAGGAGAAATAGTGGCCTCCTGCGGAACGCGCCACCACAGTGCCTCCAGACGCCGCCGTCAAAAGCGTTCTGTTCGACTGCAAGCTTCGATAGCAAACCCGCCCAGGAGAGAGGTGATTCTCTAGCCGGGCGCCCCCTAGGAGTCGGCCCGGCAAACGTGCGCGGAGAGGCACGGGGACCCACGGCTTAGCGGCCACGGCCACCAGACTGTCGAGACCGCTCTGCTTGGCGCACAACTAGCTTGCCACGTGAGAACATATGTATAGAAAGAGAGCATTTGAATGTCTCCGTTTCTTATGGAGTCATCTGCAGATGGAGAAACTCACTCCGCGGCGGGAGTGGCGGAAAAATGAGGTCAGACTCTAGCGGTCCTCATCCGAGCTCAGACAGCCATGGAGAAAATTTTCATCGAAACGTCTCGTTTCTTGATTGCCCTAGACATTGACGGGCAAGCCGATAGATTCTCCACGGGGCCGGCTAGAAATCCACAGTCAGCTCTTTTCGGATTTGAGGACCCCAGGTCTCTCTGCGAATTGTGAAAGAGAGCTCAAGATTCGCTCGAGGAGCTATCGATTGAAATCATGACCGAGAATCAGAGAATACTTTAGAAAAGAGTCGCGTCGTTCGGCTTCGTTCCTAGGATCCGAAATCGGCGGTAGGTAGGTAGGTGCGGTGTCGCTCCACGTCGGAACAGTACTGCGCGGTTAGCAGCGACGTCCGTACTTCGACTACAGCGACTGCGTCAGTTCCCTTTCAGAAGTTGAGTGCTTTCGGATGACTTTTGAACGCGACAAGTTGAACAGAAAATTTCCCGATCCCGACTCAGAATGAGCGAATGTCCGCCTATCGTGGGTCTCACGCGGTACGCTGCTGAGTCGACAGAAGAATATTCGTGAAGTACCGTTGAGTTGTTTTTCTGGTATATTTGATGTGATCTTGATCGCGACGACGCCGTCGTCGATGCCGCGCGGACATGGGGCCAGCGTCACGCAGAACAGGGAACGCAGCGACGAAAATTCGGTGCTGCGCTTCGCCGTTTGTATCCGGAAAGGTTACTGACTGACAATGGGATCTAAGCGTCGCGTCGCTTCACTCACTTTTATCGGAATGATATATTTTTAGCGAGAAAACCAATGAGGTATGCGCATTTGCTGAAAAAGGGTACATATCACTTGAGTCATCGCCGAATTTTTCTGCCGTCCCAGATTCCCCGGATACTCAGCATGGAGAAATATCTCCGATATCGAGTGCGAGGATAGATTTACGGAGAATCGGGGAAGCATTCTGAAGGTGTCATGAGGGGAGGAGGTATGGATGCCAACCAGCAGGATACGCGAAGAAGGCTCGATCACAGACGGAGCCAGGAGAGCGGAGAGAAGAATGAGGATCACATGCTCTCCTCGGTCTTCTCAGGCGGACAGGTGGAATCTGGTGGAAATTGTGCCACGCGACTTCGTGGCTCGCGACGCTCGAAACTCATCAGGGAAACAGCTGTTGTCGCGATGAAAAATTGACGTCTTCGAAGACAGGTGTCTCTCGACGAGGTGTACCCGGAGTCCAACACTCTCAGAACGTGAGGAGGATCGACTGTAATTTCTCCATAATGCAGGCTTGTGAACTTCTTGCGCATCTGGCGAGTTCGTTAGAGAGTCGACTGTAAATCTCTGACACCCAAGTTGGACAGAAAACAGATTTGAGAACAGGTGGCGAGGCGTTGGCTCGACTGATGCGATGGGAAACTTTGCTTTTGGATTTTCATCGACAAGGCGCGACGCTGGATTTAAAATGACACAAATCGACACAGCCGAGCAGAGGCGCCTCCCAGACGAAACGGGAAAAACAAAGTTGAGACAGGGAGAACATCCTCCCTTGTTCTTCGTCGCGAAGATTATCGTGTCAGACTCGAAAGCAGCCGAAAACCTCGAGAGGGAATTCCAGCTCAGAGAGGTATCGCAAGCTCGTCGGTGTTGAGACGGAACGGCGAAAATGGAAGAGACAGGGATTCCTCGAGGAGAATGTGATCTGGAGATGGATTTCGGAGCGATGACAGGGGAGCGAGCGAGCCATAGAAGGGAAAAGTTTTGATAGATCTCGCACGGACGACGAGTTTCCATCAGGCTTGATGAATGGATTTTCCTCGTTTTCGATTCCCTTTCTGCGAGTTCTCCTAATCAGTTCAGCCGTTTCCGCTTTGGAAACCTCCGTGCGAAACGAGATCGCTGAAACAAAAGCAAACGAACGGCTGTCGTACGCATACACACCGGGCAACCGACAATGAACAAACAGACGAACCTCCCACACACAATGTTGAGCAAGGGATCCGGTGCAGAGCTATAAAGTGTTTTGCCAACTCAAGCTGCTCCGCGCGGAGAGGTCGCAGAATTGCTCCATAGACTCGGAGGACGGCGATCGAATGCCGGCGCGGGATATAGGCAATTTATTCCGGAGTTTAATCAGATCAAGCTGCTTCGTTGGCAGTCTCGACTCGAAAACGCCGATTAAGCACTCGAACCTCAGTTCGTTTCGTTAATGGGACCCGGTCGCAATCGCCAAGCCCGTCGAGGTTTTCTGAGGCGGGAATCCGCCTAGTGGAGCTCTGGTACGTCGCGTCGGATGGTGTGGTGAACTCGAGTCGCTCGATAGAGCAGTCGATTGTAATATTTCAGCTCCTGGCTTGGACACAAGGGGCATCGCCAGCCAGACCACCCTATGAGAAAAATATTTCTCCGATCGATTGGCTCACGTCCGGCCATGCTCGGTGGACCCGAGAACATTCCCCCGGTACCACGGTACCTGTCCCTTTGAAAAGTCTAGTCTTCCCGAAGGCTGATCCAAGTTCGGCTCCAGTGCATTCCTCGATCCCAGCTTCTTCCCCCCATTGCTTGATGCGACGAGCCCATCCAAGACTTCAATCTGTAGTTTGCGACAACCACGTAGCACCCCGAGAAACGGATGAGACATCTAATTTCGGTTTCCAGAGCGGCTCTCCCTCCCGAGAGGGAAGGGCTCTCTGAGAGCGAAAAGGGAATCCTCGCGATGGCCTCCGACTTGGGCGTTCGCTACTCTTCCGGAGGGTTATTATTTCCAGAAATGGGCGCCCTGTCCCGACGTCTTGATTGGGTGTCTCGCTTCTCATGACATGACGTATGGACCCGTCCCATATCCCCCCTCCCTCTTGCGGTTTCCTTTGTAACGTCACTCTCCGAGTCGTCAGAGTTTTCGCCCTGGAGCGAGTCCCTGATGTTCTTCGTCGGTAGCTGTGAGGGCCCATCCGTTCAAGAATCGGTGGGTTCCTGAACCCGGTGTTCAACTGCCTACCCGACAACCCGCCTACACAAACTCCAAGACGGCTCTGTCTCTTCTCCTCAGCCTAATGGACTTTTAAGTGGAAACGAACGACCGGCTCGCTGCTGGCAGTCCGCTGGGATCTGGGATTAAATACTCAGAAGCAAAGACGGAGAAGAAGAGATGATCAAGGGGAACACAGCGGGGGCCGAACACGCCCAATCACCTTCCGCCTACCCCTAGATCGATGATATTGAGTGCGTTAGGGGATTCCTGAGGGTGGAACAGAGAAATGAAACCATGCGGTTCAGGACGCAGCAGGAAGGGGAAAGGAGGAGCCGGGTCCCAAGGCAGGAGTTCAGAGAATACGAGGCAGGGAAAAAAGCTCATCCTCGTTCCAGGAGAGCGTGGGGGATTTACTTTCAATACGTCGACAAGTTGATTTCGAATAGAGTCTTCCAGAGGGTGAAGGAGGAAGAGTAACCCCTCGGAAGGATGGATCGATCGATTGTTTGTTGACCCATTCTCACTGAAGTCACCTTCCGAACACAGGGAGGCAGCCCATTCTGGAAGGGCCGTCGTTGGTGGATTCGGTTCTGTGACTCGTCCGTCAGGGTTGTCAATGTTTCACCGCTCGTAATTCGCTACCACCACTCACGAAACGAAAACCCTCTTCGCTGTCTCCGGAATAGAACTTCATACAGACGGCCGGGGGAAATGAGACAGATCCAGAAATGAGCAGCAAATCCCAAATGCTATGAATGAGGAATCGGCGAAGCTCACAGACCGCGGCTGAACGAGGAAGCGCACGTACTTCCCTGTGCTGGCAGAAACAACCATACAGTCTCATGAGCCGAGCCTCGCCGAACTTTCGACCGTAGCCGTCTTCCTCTTATCATAACCATATTTCAGTCACAGATCGGAAGCACGACGCGATTCTACGTTCATTTCCGGGTGCAGTAAAGAGGGCTGCTGAGATCGTACGGGACCGAGCATCAGCCTCGGACCCCCACCTTCGTCGTTCGGGCTATCGTTCGTGTGTTCCCTCTCGGGTCTCACAGTTAGATCGCAGGGCTGCGATCGGCTCATCAGGAGAAGCGAGGAAGAAGGAAACGGAGCTAGCAAGACGCACTCAGAGTTCTCGCTAGCGGTTCGTATGGCTCAATAAAAAACGCAGAACACATTCACATCGACTCAGATCACAGCATATCTCCGGGCAGGGCGCAGGGTAGAAATGAGGGAGTCGGCAAATCACAAGAGGAACATACATATCCTATGGGTATGTATGGGAGCAAGGAGAAAAACTGTGGGCCTATCCCGGGCGCAGTTCGGGGAAAAGGTAAGCAGACTCCGAATTGCTAGCAATGAATAAATGACTTCGGCCCGGGAAACGAAAGCGCAAAGAGGCACGAGTGAGCCTTTGCAGGTACGCCTTTCCCCTTGAGCACTTCCAATTTCTCAGGATAGCAACGTTCGCTCATCGTCTCAGCGATTTTTTTATCGCAAGATCGGTGACTGTCCATATGGTTTGCATGGTCCGCTCGTTGGGTCGTTTGCCTTGCACGCTAACGTTAATTACTGAAGTGCGTATCCAATATCGAGGTCGTTGGGCCGTATGCTCCACCGAAGACAGACGGCGGAAGGGAAACGAAGTGCAAGGGCTGGAGCGACCCGGCGGCGGGAAGGGACCCAAGATGAAGGGAGAGATCATGTTCTTCTCCTTCTCAATAATAAATTCTTCGCTCGTTGAGTTCCTGGAATTAGGAGAATGCGGCTCCTG